CCTCTTCCTCTCACCTCCAAGCCCCTCGGGAACCTCAGAAGTGATAACAGGGAGTTTCCAAGCCAGGGGCTTTCCATCTGAGTTCAGTGGCTGCCTCCCACCTTCACTCCCATTTCCCTGAGTGAGCTGCCACCGCTGGCAAACAAGAACAACATGGAGTTTGCCATGTCAGTTCCTGAAAGAATGAAGACTTGGGGACAAAGGCCCCTGAGCCCATCCTGGGAGTTCAGTTCAGGGACCAAACACTTGATACAGCCAAAGCAGAATGGTTTCCATCAATGCTAGTCTAAAGCAGGAGCTCAGAATGAGAAGAGGGTCCCCAAATTTCCTCTACTCCAAAGTCACCATTGTCCTCTCTGCAGGAGCTAGACTTTGGAAATAAGACAACTGCCCCTCTGCTTTCTGAGACCACCCAATACTTTGAGAGAGCTGGCCAGTGTGAGGCTCAAGACTAAAAAGGAGGGAGAGGTCTCTGCCCACAGGGGCCCTGAGCTCCTGCCGACCCTGGCACTGAGGAGACTGTCTGGGTCTGAGGCCAGCCCCATAACGCGATGAGCTGGCAGGCCAGTCTGCACCCTGGGGAAGAGGGGGAGGGCCTGAAGGAGCCAGCTGTCCATCCAGGCTGTGAATAACGGGGGCCTCATCACCACCCCAGAGCTGCAGGGGTAGGAGCAGCCGGCACAGGGACTGACTAAGAGCAGTTCCGGGAGGGTGATTAGCAGGGAGGCTCCCTTAGGCTCCTACACACAGAGCAAATCCCCAGGCCTACTCTTTGATGTCTTGCATTTCCAGGCCCTTCTCCCTATAGGACTGCTTTTCCAGGTTGATATGTCTTCCCCACCCCACCGCCCCATGACCCTCTGCCCCATCCCAAAAGTCACATCCCTGGACTTTCCCCACCTGCCCCCGGGCTCAGACATCACTTGGCTCGATATCTGATCTCATGTGTCACTCATGAGGCATTAGGCACAACCCTTCTTGGAACTCTTCATGTTTTAAACCTCTGTCTTTCTCTGGAACAGGGCCCTCAGTCCCTCCAGACTGGAGCCATTATCTCCAGCCAGCACTTTTACATGCCCCACGGGCAGGGCAGAAAACACAATGATAGCAGCTCTCCAGGAATGCTTGGAGATGATCATTTTCATAGTGACCATCATTCTTCTAGGCCTCTGTCACAGGTCAGCTCCCACAGGGAGCCTTCCTGAGCATTTCACGTGTAGCTCTTTCCAGGCATGTTCTGGCTCCTCTGGCCCTGAAGGTGAAGACAGTCCTCTATGCTGTCCCCACCCACCTCAGAGCTGAGCCTGAAGCCCAAAATTAGCAGAAAACCATCTCACAGACATGAACAGGGCACAAAAACTGCTCACTGAGCAAATGGGTCAAAGGGCAGCGGGGCTAGTCCTCCTCGCCTTTCCACCTCCACAGGTGACCCAGGTTGAAGACCTCAGGGAAGACTGACCTGCCAGAAGCCAGTGAGGCAGACTCCTAATGTGATCAGAGAACCCCGGCCTCCAACAGCTGCCCCAGGGCAGCAGATGCCTGAAAGTCCACATCACTCGCCCAAGGGTCCCAACCCTGGAGACACTTGAAGAGCTGGAGAAACCAAACCAAACCAGTATCTCAGAATTCTAATTCAAGATTCAAATCCTCAGAGGTCTCAGAACTTTTCAAAAGCTCCTGGGTGACTCTAGTGTGCACTTGGGCTGAGAACCATGGGACCAAGGTACAGAATGTCACAATTCTAAAGCTAGTGTGATTTGGGAGCGTTTAAAACAGTAAATCATTAAGGCCTGAGTTGGAATCCATTCCTTGCTTAGCAGCAGATTTGAGGGGAGAAAGGGACAAACTGATCAGAGGAGCTCTGAAGGAAGAAATCAGGATGGGAAGGGGAGCAGCAGGACACACAGTGAGGGCGGGACCTAGGCCTCTCCTGAGTTGGGGTTTAGGGGGACGGGCATGCAGGGGGCAGCTAGTGGGGCAGTGGAGGCACTGACAAACAGAGTGGAGGCTGGTTAAGAGCTGGGGGTGCTGGAGCCAGCTCCTCTCATTAGCTGAGTGACCCTGAGCAAGAGACCCAACTCATCTGTGTGTTGGTTTCCTCATCTACAGAATGGGGTCCGTCCCACTCCCGTCTCTGGGCCGTGTGAGAAGGAGCTAAGATCACGAGTGTATTCTCTTACTGGCTAGCAGACAGCAGTGGCTCTGCTGCAGTTTGGGAAGGGAGCTTTACTTAAAACTCTAAAGAAAAGGCATGTAGACCAAAACGTCTTAGAAATAACTGGATTTATAGACCAGAAGCCATCTAAATAAATGAGATTAACGGGGCAACCACAAATCCAGTCTGCCTGGCACAAGTTTTCAGATGCTTTGCATCTATCCTTCCACCAGCCTGACCAGCATGAGAGGCGGAAAGGGACCCTTGGGGCACTGCAGCCAGTGGGGGTGTTTCTTTCTGACTCTTCCAGATGTAGACTCCTACTGGGCCCTGAAAGGGGAGGAAACTGCCCCCTCTGGTAGCAGGCACAGTGGGAAGCCCTGGGCAGGCCTCCACTCTGACTTGGCCTGACCTCCTTCATCCCTAATGGAGCTCCCGCAGGTTCCAGCTTCTGAAAATCTTGCCTTAGACCCTAGACTTTTCTTAGTTGTTTTTTGGCAGCCATCTGTTTATTTGGAGGCTGCAGCTACGCCGGCCTCTGCACAGCTAGCTTTCTTTGCCAATGCTCTTTCAGTTCTGCCCTTAGCCTCCCTGTGGTCCTCCTGACCTTGGCAGAGGGCCCTGTTTTTCCTTCCTAGGAGCTCATCTACCTTAGAAGATCAGAAAGGGTGCAGGGGACCACGTCTCCACATTGTTCCAGGTGGGACCCACACCCCCTCTTTGCCACTGCAGCATCCATACCTGGAAAACAGTTCATGGTGTGGCTTCCCCAGGCCAAGTTTGTTTATCTGCTTGGGGCAGGAAAGCCCTGCCTTCTCCTGGTCCCTTACTCCCTGGACGATGACTCTGTCCCCTGTGCATTGTTTTCTTTCCGGTGGAATTTCTGCTCTTGAGGACTCAGTGTTCTGTGCTACCCCTGCTGCTGCCCACACTGCCATTTATCACATCCCGGTTTCCTCCTGTCCAGACAGTGCTGGCTACCAGCCAGGACCTCGACTATTTGTGGAGAGACAGGGACTGAGGACAGCAAAGGGTAGAAGCAGGAAGTGGGAAGCTATTGTTCCTCCTTGGTCAGAGTCTCGGGGCCTCTTCTGTGGGGCCTGCGGTGTGTGCAGTGGAGCAGTGTACACGCAGGCAGCCAGCCCAGGGTAGACACGTGAGGAGGTTCCACTCCGATGGAGACACACCCTTCAACCTGGGACTTCATACTCCCCGATCAGTTTCTCCCTAGATTTTGTGCAAGACCCTCCTGGTACTAAGGAAGGCAAGGAGCCCAGACAGATAGGCGGATATTGAGGCCAATCTCCAATGTGGTCACAGGACAGGGGGTGGAGGGCAGGAGTGCCCAATATGTGCCAACTTCCTTGCCCATGGCACTTCCTGTCGGGTTGCACAAGGTGGGGAAAAAAAGGCAGGTGTGGAGAGGGGTGGCTCATGCCTCCCCTCTCCTGTCCTAGACCCTAGCCCACACACCAGCTCCAGGAAAGAGCCCCAGTCTGATTCCTGGGGTGTTAGATGTAACTCAGGTCAGCCTGCCTTGCCAGCCCCGGAGCCCTTTGTTTGGTTTGAACTGCTTCATATTTGCCACCTCAGCTCCCCTCACCCCAACAGCCCCAGCCCCCTCCCTCAGTCACCTCCCAAAGCAGAGCTGTGATGTAAACCAAGGAGCTCAAGAGAGAACGCACAAGAAAAAACTTACAATTTTTTTGAGGGAGGCCGGGGGGATGGGGGAGAGAAACATTGATGTGAGAGAGAAACATTGTACTGCCTGCATTAGCATTTATTCATACAGCCCTGTTAGTTCCTGACACAGATGTGGGTGTACAGCAACCGCCCCCTCCCAAAAGCAAGGGACTCAGGAGGAAGACCTGTTATAATTCTGGGTCCTGGGAATAGGAGGAACAGCAGGCATTGCCAGCCTTGAGCATCTGCTTTAGATCGAAGTTTTAACACAGTAATAATGCTTTTGTCAGGCATCTGCAGGACCTGGTCCTCCTCTGTCCATGCCAGAGATGGCCAGAGTCATCGGTGGCCTTCCTTACCCCCGTGTGGGCCCTGTTAGCCCCATCTGGTGAACATCTGGGATCCCTTACCCGAGGACCTGATTAGTTAATCCTTCTCTAGCATAGGAGTCCCTGTCTCTACCCTTAGGAAACCAAGGGGCTCAAGAGAGGACACATAAGATAAAAAAAAACAAACCACATATTTTTTTTTTTTAGAGAGAGGAAGGGTGAGAAAGAGAAAGAGAAAGATTGATATGAGAGAGAAATATCGATCGATCAGTTGCCTCTCACACATGCCCCGACTGGGGCTCAAACCCGCAACCTGGGTATGTGCCCTGAGCAGGAATCAAATTCACAACTTTTGGTGTATGGGACAATGCTCCAAACAACTGAGCCACATTGGCCAGAGCTAAAAAAAAACAAACCACCCACAATTTGAAAGTTCAACGGATACTTGCTCATCACATTCCTTCTGTGGATACATACAGTTGATCATTTCATTCATGAAATCCCTTAAAATCCTAACACTGTTATGGATGTGGCATCACTCTCCTCTCTTTGCAGAAGAAAATACTGAGGCTCAGGGGTGTAAAGGAAGTCGCTCAGAGTTTTCTCCTAGTCCTCAGGCCACATCTATCCCTTCCTCCGAAAAACCTCTTATTCAGACCCATGGTGTCTGTCTGAGGAGACTGAAGCTCTAGGAAGGTCAAATGATTTGCTCACAATCATCGTGGTAACTGGAGCCAGGACTATCTGGTCACAGGGATGGTCATCAGAGAAGCCTGTGTTGAGAGCAAACCCATCGGCTCAGTAAGCAGGCCTGATGGAAAACTTGGCAGGAAGGGGAGGGCAATCTTCTGTGGTGGTGGGTCTCCTTGGCTGCCTTTCCTTATTAGGGTAGGCTCTATAAGGTTAGGAGAAAGAGGCAGCACTGGGCACGTAAGGGGTGGGGGCAGTGGCAAGGAGGATCTGGGTATTCTGGAGAAGGGAGTGGGCAGGGCACAGAAACAGGAGATGAAAAAGTATCAGTGTGAAGAGTTTGGAAAGTCCTTTCATGTGGCCTCCAGTCGGCCTGGGGATAGAGGGTCTGCTTAGGATGGTGTAAGATTCCTGAAGATAGGACATGCCCTTCCACATCTCTGACGGTCTCATCAGATCCAGCCCAGAAGAGATCCACAGAAGCTGCTCTAGGAACAGCCATGCTGGAGGACAAAGGGTAAGCAGTTTCTCCATGACTTCGCTGACCAGGCTAATGTCCTCCGGTTCCCTTTTCTTCATACCTTACACCTACTTTCTCCAGCCCTTACAGCCCAAAATCACAAGGGGGTAGGGGAAGGGTTCTGGGCCCCAGTTGAGCCAAGCAAGCCAGCAGCCCAACTGTGTTACTGCTAGCCAAGCAGCTGAGGTAGCTCAGAGTGACTCAGATGAAGAGATGTGTAGAAAGGGCCTGCTTCCAAATGGTGAGGAAGTAAGAGAAAGGGAATGGTCAGGGATGTCCCTGGCTCTCTGGTGGCAGATTCCATCTGGGCTGCATCACCAGGCTACTTAATTTCTGGGGCCTCCACCACCCACAGATTCCCCACTGACCCAGGGTTATCATCTCTCTGGGTGTCTGTACACTGGTTGTGACCAGAGCCAGGATCCAGACTAGAATAAGAACATCTATTTCAAGGAGATGGGAGGGGGACACAGAAAGAGCAGACACCAGTGACTCGGAAGCCCACAGAGAAGAGCAAGGCGAAGATGGGATGCCTCAGGCAGAAAGGGAAAGATTGCTCTCTAGAGATGAAGACAGGTGGAGCAAGAATGGGAGCATTTCCTTCCCTTCCCTTCCTGGACTCTGTGCTTCCCCAGCCCACCCCTCCTTATTGCCCTCTGCTTCTCTGCTAAGTCCACTCTGCCTCTTCCTCCTAATCCAGCATCAGTCCCTCTTCCTCCGGGAAGCCTTCCCTCCACCGGCACCCTGATAGCTTAAGTCTTACAGCGTAGCATACAGTCAGTTTCACATTTTAATCTAATTATTACATGCATGTAATCTTCTGTCCCAGTAAGAGCAAACATTCAAGAAAGAGAGAAATTTATATTTCTCTGAATCACACCATTGAGTTGATTGTCAATAAATATTTGACCATTTTTGGGAAGCCAAGATTCACACAACCGTCAGGGTAAAATAAAACAGGATGTGCCCAGGAAGAATTATAAAGGGACATTCAGGAATGTGGAGAATGAGGAACAAGTTCTGGTAAAGATGAAAGAAGTGAATCTGGGTTAGAATCAGACACATAGGTGAGGAGATATAGAATACAAGACAGAATCTGACCTGGAGAGGTGGGGGGGAGGACAGAGGGCAGGGACCCTGGGGCCTGCATTGTGTCATTCTAGCTGATACCATCAGGCTCTGTGGTCATATGTACCCCAGAAATAGCACACTCCACCCTTCCCTGCCCCAAACTTCCCCTTCTGGCTATACAGGATCCCATTTGTTCCCTCTGTCTCTTTCCTCCAAGAGAGGAGGCTCATTCTTGCTAAAGTGGGGATGGGGGTGGGAAGCTGTGTGGGTCTCTGGTGCGCATCAAACACTGACATTATGAGAGGCTTCCTCAAGAGGATGCTGCCGCCTTACCTCCCCCTTGGAAATAAAGATAAATGAGACACAGCAATGACCACAGTATGTTTAAGGATAAGTAAAGAAATGACTGTAAGACAAGGGGATGTGCATAAAAGTGGTAAAAGGGTTATGGGTGCTATAGAGGAATCAACAAGAGATAGCAGACATGGGTGGCAGGGAATGGGCCAAGAAGGCCCAGAAAGGCCCAGACTAGAAGAGTAGGCCAAGCTCAGCTCTAATTTTATCTGTTGTAAAACAATCCCACCTGCACTTTCTAGTACCCTGAAGGGATCAGAACATGTGTCAAATGTCAGTGGCGGTCCCCGTGTGACCCCACAGACAGAGAGGAAAATCTTCTCAGGATCTAAAACCTGCAAAGGTGGCCAGAGGGAGCATGTCAGGACCAGGGTGGAAGCAGGAAGATCTGGCCTGAAATGGACAAGAGGGGTTGGCAGCCATTCTCTCAGATAACCAGTCAATCCACTTCCCAGCATTTAATCTACTCTACCAATAGCCAAGGGAAGTAAAAGAGAATGCCTAAACCAAGGAGCTTGAGTTGTATTAAAATTAACAACTCAAGCTGTCCGGGTTCCTGTCCTGGCTGTGCCCCAACCAAGAGTGGCTGCCTTGCCCTGGCCAGTTTGGCTCAGCGGTTAGAGCGTCGGCCTGCGGTCCTGAGAGACCCAGGTTCGGTTCCCACTAAGGACACGTACCTCGGTTGTGGTTTGTCCCCGGCCCTGGTTGGTCGTGCGGGTGGCAGCCACTCGATGTGTTCCTTTCACATCGATGTTTCTCTCTCTCTCTCTGTTCTTCTCTCTCCCTCCCACTCTACCTGAACAAAAAAATGGGAAAATGTCCTCGGGTGAGGATAAAAAAAAAAAAAAAAAAAGTGGCTGCCACTCAGTGAGAGTCTAGAATATGCTGGACATTGACAGACAGTATTTCATTTACTGCTCACAACAGCCCTGAAAGGGTGGAAATCATTATCTACCAATCTATAAAGCCCTTTTTACATACCTATCCACAAAAGGAAAACTAAGGCTCACAAAAGTTTTGCCTACAGATACATAAATAGCTAAGTGTCAGACCCCTGACCAGGCTGGGTCTGTCTGCTCCAACGAGCACTGTTCTCTCATCTGTGATATGTCACGGTGGCCTCAAACACATTACATTGCTCAGCCTCACCTGCAATACAAAGGACTGCATTAAGTGGTTCTTAGAGCCCTCCTTGTCCCTGAAACTCAGATATAAATAGAGACAAAAGCAACGGCAGAAAGCAAGGGCTATGTTGGGGGGGGACACAGGTTTTAGTGTCATGGGAGTTTCTGGAGACATGGCTGGTGGGGCAGGAGAAGACAGAAAGGAGAAAAGCTGCGGAAGCAGAGGGGGGAATCAGGCACCAGTGTGAGGAAGAACTCTGGAAAGGCAAGGAGGCCTTGTTTCTGTCAGGCTGTCCCAAGGGAACGATCTTAAGAGGCTGAGACACACAGCCCTCACCCCAGCTCACTCCTACCGGAGGGCAGAGCTAGCCCAGCCCAAACACAGGCTATTTTTGTCACTGTGTTGTTTGGAGAACAACCAGGCCAGAAATAGTGCAGTGAGTTAGTAGGACCCTGTCCTTCCACCCCCAGCTCTCCCAGTGAAGTCACCAAGGATGAGGAGGCCAGCTCCAACATTCCAAGGAACCTGTGTAACTGATAGGAGGCAGCACTGTCCTCCTCACAGGGAGACTTGGAACAGAGTATTTGACTGTAAAAGGGATTCTGGAAGAGGAGAGGAGAGGGAAAGCAGGACTGAGTCATAAAGAGTGGAAAAGAAATAGTGGGAAAATGGGGAGTGAGCTCACGAGGTTGAGACTTGAGGAAACCTGGGAAGGAATGGGCAATAACCCCATAGATGGACAGTTGAACAGAAGAGATCAAGAAAGGGAAAGGGGAAAAGAGGACAGATGGTTGGTGTTGGGAGAGCAAAGGAGAAGCAAAAAGGAAGAGCCAAGTGCAGGCGAGAGGGCAGCTGGAGGGCAGGAGGTGAAGGGTTGGAGATTGACACCAGTGGCCCCGAGGCCCCAGCTGAACCAGGGCTCCTGGAGCGCGCGTGCATGTTGGGGGGTAGCAGTGATGGAAAGTGTGAGTCTGAGACTGGTCTAGTCACGAACCACCTGCGGACAGATGGAAACATCTTTCCCAGTGAGCCGAAACTGGAACTTCCCCCCCAACCCACAGCCTTGTAATTCACCTTCTTATCTCTGATTTTCCTGGAATCAGAGATCCAGCTATTTCAACAGCAGGGACTTTTCTCTTTCTGTCCATTTGACCCCTTACAAAAGAGCCAAGGCTTGAAAGAGGTGATTGGTTCAAGCCTGTCAGTTTGGGTTGAGGGGAAGGAGAGAAAGTTACAACCCCTTGAGTCAGGTCAGATTCTGAGAAAGGCATTGCAGGGAGGTCTCCTGCGGGGGCGGGGAGGGGGGGCAGTGGGTAATTGGGAAGCACTATGATGTGTGGAAGGTCTCCAGAGGACACACAGGTTCGAGGCAAGGGCATTTCACAGGGAGGAGCAGGAGGGATCACAGTCAAGTGTAGGTTTAGATCTTCTAGTAGCCCTAGCTCATCAAACTCTGACATGGGACTTAGTTACACTAGGTTTTGCTGCATTTTCTAATACATACTCACCAGATGCCTACGAGTCCCTTCTATTTTAGGAAAAGACCCCAAAATAAGTCAGCTCTTTCTGTTTCCAATGTATAGTGCCCCTGTCTCTCCATGAGGACACAGAGCTGCTCCTAGGCTCCTGCGCCTGGGAATGAGTGTCTTTTCTGGAATGGCATTAGGTTCATCCATCAGGTCCAGGAGTGGAGACAGAATTGGTCACCGCCCTGGCAGGGTCCAGGCCATCCACAGAAAACAGCAGGGACCTTTACAGCTGAAGCCTGTCAAGGCAATGGACAAGGGCTACTGGAATAATCATGGAGCAAGGGAAGGAAGCTCAGCTGAAGTGGCTGGAGAGGCCAGGCAGTGAGGTGCCAGGAGGGAGCAATTTCCAACTGAATCTCAACCCACTGCTCTTCCAACTCGGGACTTGGCACACTCAACTCAGATTCCCAAGTCCCTGTCTCTCTCTGACCCCAAGGGTGGATGGCAAGGCACTGGGGGCATTTCTGGGGACCGAAGATAGGTCGGGGGCTGGATTTCTGTCCTCTCTACTGGAGAGAAATCAAGGGTGACTGCTTCCTCCTCATGGTTAATCACCCTCTCAGGGACTCCAAACCACAAATAAGAAAAGGAAAAGGAATAAACAAGAAAGCAACTACATGGGAACAGTCCTGTAACGGGTCGGTGATCCTAACTTTCCAACTGAGGTTGCCCCTTTTTCCCTTCCATCCAGCATCCCCACCTGACTCCCAGGAGCAACAGGAGAAAACAAAGGCGGAGTCAGAGTAAACTAGGGAAAGCCATCCAGCTGTGGTTGCCCTTGGTATCTGTTTACTGAAAAAAACCAAAACAAATATCCCGACACTTCCACCCACTTAAACTTCCTGTGCATCTGTTATTGGCTGTCTCGATGGATATTCCCGCTTGAACTCTATCACCTACACAAATCATGACAGTATATAGACCCCAGGTCAAGTGCACCATCCATCTCCATCCCTCAGGACCCTGTGGCACCCCACCCCCTGTCTATAGTATCCAGGCCACACTGCCAAACCCCCAAATGCACTTGTCCAGCCCCACTCACTTGCCTTTAGCTAATTTCTACCCTCTATAAAATTCCTGGGTCACTATTCCACTTCTCACTCAATGTCCTAGGAGCACAAACCAGCCAGGAATTGATGCCCTTGCTTCTATCCCTACTTGCGCTGCTCCAGCCCTCCAAGTGTCTGCATCTGGAGGAAAAGGATAAGGCTTAATTCTCCCCCATCACAGCAGGCAGCTCAGAGAAACAAAACTTACACGTTGAGCTACTAATTCCTTGTCAAGACTTGACCCCAGTAACTCCTGGTTCCTCCGCCACCCCACCCAGCACACCTCAAACTCCTGGCAGACAGGGCTATCGACACAAAAGAAGCCCTCAGGGGCACCTCAGGAGTCTGGACACGTGGAAGAATCAGCCATGCATCATCCAACACTCGACAGGAGGGAGTCCTCTGCCAGGCTCATGTCTTAGACAGTCAAAACCCAGACAATCACATGGCACGCTCCGTGCTTGTGGCCGCTGGGATGTGGCCAAGAGGAGGGAGGGGCACTCTTCTTCGGTTGGCGTGCACATGGTGTAGACAACGCTGGCAGACAAAGTCCACAGGATCCTTAACCTCTTCAATAACTCTGTGGGGACCCATTTCTCCAAAAGAAAAGGAGGGGATGTTTCCCCAAGGCTGAGTACTGGGGAAGCTAATCTCAAACACTGGGTATTTCAGGCTGTCTGGCACTGTGAGGGGTCAGGCTGGCATAACATCCAAAGAGGGAGGGACACAAACAGAAGGCAGTGTAATCAGGGGAGGCCCTGGGGCCAAGGCTGTCAGGGTTTTCTCAATCATTTATGAGCCCTCTCACACACGTACACACACACAGCAGCACGCACACACATGCCTCAGCAAAGTCAGACTTCCAGAGCAAAAAAGTGGGTGGAGCTGGGCCGTGAGTTAATCTATTTCCTGCCCACTTCTGGTATAAAGGGAGGCAGCTGCCTCCTTAGCAGCACAGCTGCGTCTGGCTGCAGGGCTAAGGGCACTGACGAGAGGGACACACCCCCTGTCCAGCAGCGGAATCACCACAATCTGCAGCAGCCGCAGGACAAATTGCAGTCACGAGACACCTTCAGAACTTCAGGTAAGAGAAAAACAAACTTTCTCCACTTTTTCTCTTGGGTTAAGGTAGAGAATGCCCCTCCACAGAACTCCCCTGTCCAATCCCCACTTTGCCCCACTTTGTCCATCCCCTGAAGACCCGTAGTCCTAAATTGCCCTCTCCATAGCAGTGATTGCAGAATCTGAACCCATCTTGGTTTCTTTCTTCTTTTTCTTTATTTTAATTAACCTCTTTTAAAATTTACCTTAGAGAGAGGAAGGGAGGGAGAGAGAGAAACATCGATGTGAAAGAGACACACCAACTGGCTGCCTCCTGCACAACCCCAACCAGGGTTGGGGATCAAACCTGTGACCCTTCAGGCTGCAGGCCAGTGCTCTAACCACTTAGCCACACCAGCCAGGGCCCACCATGGTTTCTTTTTTTTTATCCTCACCCGAGGACATTTTTTGATATTTTGTTCAGATAGAATGGGAGGGAGAGAGAGAGAGAGAGAGAGAAACATCGACGTGAAAGGGACACATCGAGTGGTTGCCACCCACACAACCCAACCAGGGCCGGGGACAAACTGCAACTGAGATACATGCCCTTAGCAGGAACCGAACCCGGGTCTCTCCAGACCGCAGGCCGATGCTCTAACCGCTGAGCAAAACCGGCCAGGGCCCACCATGGTTTCTTAATGAATCTTGCCCTTGTGTTCATTTAGCACCTGTCAGCAACATGGGAAGCCTGGCCCATGGCTGGGATGTCGTCTTCCCTTCCCATTCGCCATTCTTCTAGAACTGTTCCCTCATCAGATTCTTTCCCACTTGCTCTAGGATGCAAATGTCTCCAGTCTTGACCTGCCTAGCTCTGGGCCTGGCCCTCATCTTTGGTGAAGGATCTGCCTCATACCATCGCCAGTCTCAGGCTGCCCAACTGGTCACAGATTTTGGAGTGAAGGTATTTCAGCAGGTGGCACAGGCCTCCAAGGACCGTAATGTGGTTTTCTCACCGTATGGGGTGGCCTCGGTCCTGGCCATGCTGCAGCTGACAACAAGAGGAGAAACCAGGCAGCAGATCCAAGCGGCAATGCAGTTTGAGATTGAAGGTGAGAGATGGGCAGAGTAGGAGGCAGGTGCTCATGCAGCCTTCACAGAACTGGGGTGTAACCAACCAGAAGCAGAGGACAGGCTGACTCCAGCTTAGCTGGGCCAACACCTGTGCTGCCTTGTTGTAGGGACCACCATATCCTGTGTCACTTGGCCCTTGACCAGTCACAGAGTGTACAGGCCAGTGGACTTAGTGTAAAACAGCCTTGTATCATCACTTATTAGCTGCATAACCTTAACCCCTCTGAGGCTCAACTTCCTCTTGAACAAAATGAGGATAATAAAAGTACCTAGCGCAGAGGGCTGCTGTAAGGAGTAAACAGAACTGTACATATGAAATGCTTTGCATAGCTATTATTATGATTATGAGAAAAAATGTAGAGTTCATAGTTTAAAAACAGAAAAATATTTCAACCCAAAGAAAGGGTTAGGACCTGAAATTTTTTAGAAAAAGGGAGAGATGCAAAAGAGATTAAGGTTTGGAATGAAATCTTCCAGAGACACTGTAGGGATCAGAAGAGTCTCATCCATGAGGGCAGGGTGAGGTCTCTCATGGGGGAAGTTGGCCCAGCTGGGACCCAGCAGCTGAGCATGAGCCTGATGTGTCCTTTTCTTCCTCCGGCACAGAGAAAGGCATGGCCCCTGCCCTCCGTCAACTGTATAAGGAACTTATGGGGCCATGGAACAAAGATGAGATCAGCATCGCCGATGCCATCTTCGTCCAGCGAGATCTGAAGCTGATTCAAGGCTTCATGCCTCACTTCTTCAGGCTGTTCCGAACCACGGTCAAGCAGGTGGACTTTACAGAGATTGACAGAGCCAGGTTCATTGTCAATGACTGGGTGAAGAGACACACAAAAGGTGAGCAGGCAGGGAAAGGAAGCCGGACCCAAGGGCCTGCCAAGGAAGGGGATTTGGAAACAAACCCCAAATATTCCAACCTCTCCCTTTCAGCATTCTCTTCTTTGTAGGCAGAAGGCCAAGTGCTCTAAGAATCAGTGTCATTTTTTTTATAATTAGGCCTTCTCATGAACCAACTCTAGAGGTATCCCTAAAAAAGTGCTATATGATTTCATTAGAATGGTAATAACCATGATGAGGAGCACACACAGTTCAAGACTATAGCTTAGGGAGCAAAGTAAGGGAAGACATAAGTTTCCAGGTCTGATCCTGGACAGGATCCTAGGCCCAAGAAAATGTGGTGAGCTGGGAGGCTTTCTGAGACCCTTAGGAAGATGGAACAGGCTGAAAACGGCTACATTCGTTTACCTAAACCCCCAGACTATCTTCTGACTGGGTTACTTCAACATACACACATCCATCTGAGGCCTGGGAGCTGAAGGGAACTATCCAAGGGGATTAGAAAATATCTAGCTCCTGATCACCTGGTTTTCCAATAGGCATGATTAGTGACTTACTTGGCAAAGAGGCCGTGGACCAGCTGACACGCCTGGTGCTGGTGAATGCCCTGTATTTCAATGGCCACTGGAAGACACCCTTCCCGGAGTTGGGCACCCACCACCGCCTCTTCCACAAGTCCGATGGCAACACCGTGTCAGTGCCCATGATGGCTCAGACCAACAAGTTCAACTACAGTAAGTGCAAGACTCCTTTCCCCAAGTCCTATACCTACTGGACCTCATCCCTGGGTGTTCCCCTCTAAGGGAAGATAAACCCTAGAATACACCCCAGTTTTAACAAAGACTTCCCAAATAGAAGTCACTAGGATAACTGGAGTAACAGAAAGTAGCTTTATCTTATGCAAGATGAAGCTGAAATCCAGCAGTTCCCTCGGGCCCACGTTTGGCCACTTGACCCCTGTCTCTCATCCTCATGTGTTTCTAGTGTGATTACCTGGGGCTCACAAATCCGGCTGTGGGAAGGGCTATGTGGAAGCTGAGATTCAGGAGATGAGGATTGGAATGAATTAGTGGCTGAGTATGAGGGAGAGGGGAGTGAATATAAAGAAAGCCAGAGAGAGACAAAGAAACCAGAAGAAACTGAATGGACAGAAAATGAAGGAAATGGAAATGAAAACATCAAATAGGGGACTGTGGGTGTGGGAGTCTCAAAAGCCAGAATGGGGAGCAGGCTTCCAGAAAGAGTGGAGGGGACAGGAGAACTAGTTGAAAACCCAGCGCTGGGTTAGAACCTACAAGAACTGAAGCCATTTTCAATGTGCCATCTTGGTGTCTTCACAGCTGAGTTTTCCACCCCTGATGGCCATTACTACGACATCTTGGAATTGCCCTACCATGGGGACACTCTCAGCATGTTCATTGCTGCTCCCTATGAAAAAGAGGTGCCTCTCTCTGCCCTCACCAACATTCTGGATGCCCAGCTCATCAGCCAGTGGAAAGGGAATATGACCTGTCTGCCCCGCCTCCTGGTTCTGCCGAAGTAAGCCACCCCTTACTCACTACAGTTGCCAATGCCCTAATCCTCTCTATTGTCCGCCTTCCTTCTCTCCTGAAAGCACTGCCCCATGTTGAGTTTCCCAAATGTGATGTTCGCAGGGCAGGGACATGTGTGGGAGGCTGATGGGAAACACTCTGGTCTGGGTTTGATTAAGATTCCTTTCGTCATCCCTCCTCCCATTTCTGCTAGAGGGCAAGGAGTTTTCTAGACTATGCCCCTGCATATACCTTCTTCAAAATATCCAGCAAAAGCCAGCCAAAGGAAGAGCCAGAGAAAGTACAGAGGTGGGAGGCTAAATGTGCCTTCAGATGTTTCTGAATGCCCCTGACTCCCATTCCCACCTTCTTAAGTCAACATCCAAAAATGGGGACAAAAGGAATTGCTTCTGCAGATGGAGCAGCTGGAACCAGCACTTCTAGCTGGCTTCCAACAATCAGATTTTTTAAAACTCTTCTGCAGAAGCAAAGAAGATGGAGAAGGCTGAGGCTGGGTAACTCTAGAATTATAAAAAGCCTCCCACCATGCTTACCCCAAATTTCCATATAGTATAATGCCAGGTTCTAGGAAAGAAGAGAATTTAGTTGCGCGCTCTCTCTCTTTCTCTCTCTCTCTCTCTCTCTCTCTCTCTCTCTCTCTCTCTCTCTCTCAGAGATGGAGGTAATTAGTTGTGCCCTGATGGAAAGCAGAGAGCACCCCAAAGACTTGCTGCTGAGTCCTCTTCAGGGTTAGCTCTCAGAAAAACAACCTACAGACCATATTTCTATTCAAATAGCCTTGCAGGAGAATTTGCCCTTGGCTCCCCAGGATTGAAGAAACTACTACCTTATTTGAGAAAAGTAATGTTATAAGTTCAAGGGGGTTGGGAGACTGCAGAAAAATGTTCATTAATGTTAGAACCTCTAGCAAGCAGAGACCTTGCAAAAAGATTGGAAATAACAAGCCTCCCTCTTTTACTTTCACATCAGTCCCAATCCTGTTGGGCTGCCGGGGTGATACCTGGTAGGGACTGGGAGACGGGGCCTGAGCTTGAGCTGTTTCCTGCTCCTGTCTATAGGTTCTCCCTGGAGAGTGAAATTGACCTCAGGAGGCCCTTGGAGAACTTGGGGATGACCAACATGTTTAGTCCAAGCCAGGCGGACTTCTCAGGTTTTTCAGGTAAGACATTTTCCTTTCATTTCTTATCCTGGTGGACTGTGCAGCCCCTTAGAGGACAGAGGAGCTTTTCCCTAAAAACCAAAGCTGATCTACTCTTGTATCCACCCATTTCAGATCAAGAGTCTCTCTACGTATCACAAGCACTGCAAAAAGTGAAGATCAAGGTGAATGAGAAAGGCACAGTGGCATCCTCCTCTACAGGTGAGTCAGGCTCAGCCTAGCACGGCTCAGCCCAAGGCTTACAGGAGGGACCACTATGGCACCCACACCTGCACGAACCTTCTCTGCTCTGCTCCACCAGGCCTCTCCTCACAGAGCAGCACTTCCTGTGTGGGGAGTATTGCCCTTTCCTCACTAGTGGTTCTCAGGCTAGAAAATGGGCCTGCTTTCCCTGGGACCTTGTTCCCTTACCCAGTGGCTCCTGGGGTCTCCTGAATATGAAAGGCCTCCCAAGGGAAGCCTGGGTTGTTCTCACAGTGGTTAGTCAACTTAAAGAACTTGCTTATCAATATGCCCTAAAAGGGTTTAGATAAATGTCTGTTTGTAAGAGAGCAGCTGGTTGATCTCTACCAAACTCCTGGAAGAAACAAGGCCTCAGAAGACTTCCCTAAACTTTTAAGGTTCATGTCCAACAGAACAACAGAGCCTCCTAAAAACGACACCCCAGTGCTGCTGCCAGAAGAAAGGCTGATGTCAATGGATCACTTGTGATCAATTCAGGAACCAGTGCCGACATCCCTCTGTTCTAACAAATTGTCCCTTCTCTTCCAGCCATTACTGTCTCAGCCCGAATGGCCCCCGAGGAGATCATCATGGACAGACCCTTCCTCTTTGTGGTGCGGCACAACCCCACAGGTGAGCCTGAGCCCAAGATGCCCCACCATTAAGGGCACCAGTAGAGACAGGTGTAGATACCCCTCTTACCCCAGGACTCTAGGCAAGGGATCCATACCTCTGATCCTCTTCCCCTCCTCAGAGACAGTGCTCCGTCATAGATAGAGTGCTGGGCCAGGACCCCAGTCCTCGCTTAGTCGCTAAAGCAGCTGTGACTCCAGACATCTCACTCGTCTTCTCACATCTTAGTTCATCCATAAACTTCAAGCTTGGTGAACTGTGCCATTCCTTCCAATTCTCATCTCCCATGATTCTTCCATCCTCAGGAACGGTCCTTTTCATGGGCCAAGTGATGGAACCCTGACCATGAAAAAGGAAGCTCTCATCTGGGACAGAACTGGAGATGTATCAATGAAGAAACTGCGAAGAAAAGAACTTTTATTTTCATTAATCTTTCTGGAGAAAGAGAAGACATTTGCCTTTTTAAAAATGGTAAAGCTGCCTTCTAGACCTCAGCCTCTCCAAACCTGACTGTAAAACTCTCAGAGCCACTTGTGCAGCTGCTTCTGCCCATTGCTCTGCCCGTTCAGGTCTTCCGATCTGGATCCCACTGAGGCCCTGGCCGATGGCACTGCAAGGCTTATAGGAGCTTCCGTGTGCTTGGTAGAAACTCTTTGCATTCCAGTCACGTTGCCATCACTCTTGCACTGTCTGCCACTGCTGAGGAGGCTGGCATCAGGCCAGAGAAGACCAATGCAAGAAACACCCTTTCATTGCAAAGTCTGTCCTTCCCCGGCTCAGAGGTGCCATGGAATGGCAGAGCAACTACCTACCCAGTTGCAGAAACCCATCCTGGCCTGGTCATCTCCCTCCCCAGAAACAGTGAGCATATATTATTTCTGAGTGTAGGTGACTTGTTTACTTATAGAAGCAGGTTTCTGCTTCCCACAAACTTTATTTTGCAGGAATAGAGGAAAAAGGTATGCCTGGCTCTTGGCTCCAATCTCCTAGTGCGGAGGGTGGGATGCCTCGGGTGTGCTTGATTATTTATCACATTCTTGTGTGCTTGTTAGAGCGAAAGAGGACTATCAAGAAATGCATATTATTTAAACCTGCCTAGAGTGTTCCTTTGTGGTCTGTGTTATTGCATCTCAGGAGTCTGGCCACTTAACTGCCATACCCCAGGGGGTGGCAAGCATGAGGGGCTCACACTGCCACCTTGTGGCTGCCCAAACCCCATTGCTCTTCACCTTTCCTTGCCTTTCCAATTGATGGATTAGGACCCTGCCAAAATTATCCAATTTCCCACATTAGGGACCAAAAGGATATGATGGGTGAGAGAGATTAGAGTGAGGACAGAGTGGTTTCAAATTTTTCCGAAATATTTAGGAGCAGGAGTGCAAAGGGATGCACGACCTAGCAGGACAGAACTTTCCCCAATTATAGGGTGACTCACAGCTGCATCAGTGACTCACTTCAATGTGTCATTTCCGGCTTTTGTGTGTGAGCAGTGGACACGTGAGAGAGAGGGAGGGAGAGAAAAAATGAGAGGGAATAGAGAGAGACAGCGAACTCAGGCTCAACTTCCCTAGTTAGATAATCTTTTTGAAAACCAACTAGCTAAGGGATATGGCACGAAGACCAATTTATTGAAGAATTGCATATAGATTTCGAATGAATGCAGCCTAATAGAATTGTAATCATCCCACTGTGCTCTTCAGCAAAAATTTTGGTTCTTTGTTTTTTTTTTTCTTTTTTCATTATGCACTGGACAGTGATAGCCACACACCGTACTCACAAGGACACCCAAATGTGGGGCACGATGTTCTTGAACTTGTGTTGAATTATATGCTTTTACATTTCTGATATATAAAAAGCAAAAATGTTATTTTAAAAAAATAATTAAATAAATAAATAAAAAGAATATTCCAAAAACAGTCCCCACCTTTACTTTCCACGATTCACATAGTACACAATCAAAATTCCATTTGTTCACAGCCATCTCAGGTAAAAGGGATCTTTAGGAAACATACATACATGGACCCAGGCATGTCGACTTGCCACGGGCCTCCAGGACTCAGCAAGAAGGCCCCAGAAACATGTTGTGTGGGCATGATTCTCTCTCTGGGCATCATCCTCAAAAAGGAAAGAGGATTCCCCCAAATACCTTCTACCCACTTAGACAGGCCTGCTCATGCCCACTGCCCCTGTGGGTTTCCATCTCCACTCATGCCATTTCCTTCTATCACCAAATGCCCCCATCCCATGCACCTACCCCTCTCCCCATTTCTCATAACCCAGACAAGTCCACTTTCTCCAGTTAGCATTCCCATGGATCCAGTCAACATCATCGAACGCCACTTGGCAGTTACGGTTTTTTTCTTTTTCTGGTTTGTAACAGTGCTTTCATTCATGTATGCTCGAGTGTGCACACTGCCCCCCCCCCCATCTACATGTCAGGTTCCTTGAAAAACAAGGTTCTTTTGTTATACACACTCTTCATATCCTCCTTAAAATGGCATCCTAAAAAGTCTTTTATTCTCTTCCTCTAGTATCTTGAAGACTCTTCCCAGAAGACATTAGTTTCTGTTCATATATTCAAAAATAATTTTTAGCACTGGCCGGTTTGGCTCAGCGGTTGGAGCATCGGGCTTGCGAACCAGAGAGTCCCGGGTTCGGTTCCTGCTAGGGGCACGTACCAAATAATAATAATAATAATAATAATAATAATAATAATAATAATTTTTAAACTGAAAAAATTCCAAGAACTATCTGTCAGAATGTGTACCATCCAGCTCCAGGACAAGATTGATAGAACCAGCCCCTGGAATCCTAGATCATATCTTAATAGGAAGTAATTACCATCTGGACTGATATTGGTCAAAACACTGATAGTTAGGAGGTAAAGAGTTCTCTGTCTCTGGAAGTGTTCTGAGAAAGCCAGGATGATCACTTGGTGGGAATGCTTCGGCAGTCAGGGAGACCTTTTTTTTATTATTCCTCACCCGAGGATATTTTTCCATTCATTTTTTAGATACAGTGGGAGGAAGGGAGAGGAGAAGGGCGGAGAAAGAGAGAGATAAACATTGATGTGAGACACATCGATTGGTTACCTCCTTCACAACCACAACCAGGGCCAGGGATCCAACCATAGTCCACAGGCCGATGCTCTAACCGCTGGGCAAAACAGGCCAGGGTGAGGTGATTTTTTTTTTTATTCCTCACCCAAGGACATTTTTGCAGTTATGTCCAGACAGAGCAGAAGGGAGAGATGGAGGAATAGAGAGAGAGAAATATCGATGTGAGAGAGACACATGGACTGGTTGCTACCCACATGACTACAGTTGGGGCCAGGGACAAACTGCAACCGAGGTACGTACCCCTAGCAGGAACCGAACCGGGACTCTCTGGTCCACAAGCTGGCGCTCTAACCGCTGAGCCAAACTGGCCAGGGCGAGGTGACTTTTTTTAAGTGATAAAGAACACATGCTGCCCTGGCCGGTTTGGCTCAGCGGTTAGAGCGTCGGCCTGTGGTCCGGGGAGACCCGGGTTCGGTTCCCGCTAAGGGCACGTACCTTGGTTGCAGTTTGTCCCCGGCCCTGGTTGGGTCGTGTGGGTGGCAACCACTCGATGTGTCGCTTTCACGTCGATGTTTCTCTCTCTCTCTCTCTCCCTCCCACTCTATCTGAACAAAATATCAAAAAATGTCCTCGGGTGAGGATAAAAACAAAACAAAACACATGCTTATTGTAAGATATTCAAACAGTTCAAAGGGTTAAAAGTGTGAACTTAGTTGGTCTCAGTTTCTTGGGTGTTCTCTCAGAACTTTGCTAAGCATTTATAAAAATATTTAAAATATTTGTTATTTTCACACAAATAAGATCATACCATATATATATACCTATATATATACCTATATATACCTATATATATGGTATGATCCTATTATTTATATATAGCGTTCTGCAGCTTGCTTTATTTACCTAATGATACATCCTACACACCTACCCCTAATTCTTTTTACCAGCTGCGTAAAAAGACGCATTATAATTCCTTAACTACTGTAGATGAACATTTTGATTGTTTCATGCTTTCTTTTTTTTTTTTATCCTCACCTGAGGACATTTTTCCATTTTTTTGTTCAGAAAGAGTGGGAGGGGGAGAGAGAGAGAAACATCAATGTGAAAGGAACACATCGAGTGGCTGCCTCCAGCATGACCCAACCAGGGCTGGGGATAAACTGCAACCGAGGTACGTGCCCTTAGTGGGAACCGAACCCAGGTCTCTCTGGACTGCAGGCCAGCGCTCTAATTGCTGAGCCAAATTGACCAGGGCATGTTTCATGCTTTCTTAAAAATTTTCTTTCTTTATTGATTTTAGAGAGAGAAGAAGGGAGAGGGAGAGAGAAATGGAAACATCAATGAGAGAGAACATTGACTAGCCACCTCCTGCATGGCCCCCCACTGGGGATTTGGCCCACCTGGGCATGTGCCCTGACTGGCAATCGAACCAGCGATCTCTTGGTGCATGGGTCGACGTTCAACCACTGAGCCACACCAGCCGGGTGTTTCATGGCTTTTTAAAATTGTCATTGTTGTTACCAACAATGCAGAGATGAATATCCTCACACATTTATCCCTATGTTCATGTGCTTGTGTATCCACAAAATTACTTCCCAGTGATGGGACTAAGTATCCTTTAAGAACCTCCCAATCCTGCAGTTCTTTGATTCTGGTAATGCAAACATTTTCAAATGATACCAAACAATCTAAAGTGATCATTTGCTGGGTTAGAATCACAACTTTCCTAAATAAGCCCACTGCCATAAATAAAGATAAATTTTAGACCTTGAACTAAAAATAACCTCCACATTATCATTCTCTCTAAAATTATGTTAGATTTCCTTGGAGCAAATTTTGATCATGATGTAAATCCAGAAAGTGTATTCACTCATTTACTCACTCCCCACCATTCTAAAGGCCGTCTCACTGCCCTTTCCATTCCTGGTTTCCTCTCAAGATTCATCAAGGGCATTCTTGGATGCCTCAGCAGGATACACTAAGACAGTGATTTTCAACCAGTGTGCCATGGCACGTTGATGTGCTGCAAGAATTTTTAAAACATGCAATACCAATTTATTCAGTGGCACTGACCTCTTTTCCCTTAGATTGTTAAACCAAAAAAATGACAGCAGCCAATACAATTGCCATCCGGTGTGAAAGAATAAAAATTATACCTATTTTTTGTCAGACTGGCAAAAAATATATTTTTTGGTGTGCCACAGAATTTTCGTAATTTGTTTATGTGTGCCATGAGATGCACAGGTTGAAAACTGCTGCACTGAGATATTCAAAGGAGACGTGCTTGTTTGACATCTCTTCCTAGTAGATTCCTCTCTTCAGGTTTGCCTTCTTCATGCTTTCTCTTCGCTGAAAGCTGATGGAGTCGGAGGGGACCCAAAGCCCATTCAAGCCTGGAAGGAAGGTTTCCCTCTCTCTTTAGAAAGCCAGTGGGAACCAGGGCAAGACCCAGAGGAAAGGAAGGACAGAATGGGTGGCTCACTAAACCTACTCTCAGATTTAGAGAGGAATACACTGTTTTAACCTCAGTGAGTTTTTTGTCTTTCCTTTCCTGTGTAACTGGCAAGCTTTGTAGGACAAAGATATGGTTGTAGAAGTAGAGAAAAAAGGCCAAAGAGGCCATTTGACCTACTTCTGTCTTAGACTACAGATGCAAAAAACTAGACGTGGTCTGATCCAGTTTTCAAGATACTTCTACACTGAGATCTGTGGCTATAAATTCAGCTGGTACTAAAGTAGTCCTCTTCCTGCAGGAATAATTCCTTCCTCTTATAGAGATCTCCCTTTAGGTTCATAGGGGCAGCTGGGGTCATGAAGGCAACAGTCCAAGAATTCAGGGACACCAGCACCCAGATATATCTTTCATCCTCCTTACACCCTGAAAAGATGACCAATTTCAGGCACTAGGCTAGTTGTTGAAGAGTTACCCATCTGTAACAAATTTGCTTAGAAACTGAAAGACCCTCTTTTTTCCAGAAGATATTTCAAAAAGCAGAACAAGTGAGCCTTAATTCTGCAGTATACAGTTCAAAAACTGCCTATACATGCTGAGAAGGCTCATAAGAAAAGAGTTCTTCAGAAGGCCTCATGATGGCAGAGGGCATTTGCTCCAGAGAGTGTCCCATTTAACAGTACCTTCTGCTTTTCCCAGATATTCTGAGGACAAAAATGACGGTGCAGCCTCACAGTGTGAAGCCTGCCCAGCCCTGCTTGGCTTTGCCCGGGCCCCCTCCTTGGCTGTTTCAAGTCTCTCTTCCTCTCTCTGTTTCTTTAGAGATAAAAAAACCAACAAGATCTGCTTCCAGCATCATTACTGCCGATTTCCTATAAACCTCACACAGTGGAATTATTTATTTGTCTGCCCAAGTATGGGCAATGAGTATGAACTTTGTAGATCCCTCAACGGCAAAACATACTCTATCAGAGTGAAACTTGTCAAGGAGACACCATCTGTTTCCAAATCACTTTTTAAAGATGGTTCCTCAGGTAAGTTTTGTTGTACTAATAGTAGCAAACACTTATTATATAAAGATAAGGAAACTAAGACAGAGTGGGGGTGAAGAACTTGCTGCTGTTATTGTTACCCAGCCCCAGGCAGTCAGACAGGTCTGTGCTCCTCATCACTGCATCTTATCTGTATGCCTTCTCGATGGCATTTGTGAATACAGGTCTCCGTGAACACAGCACAGTGCTCAGTTGAAGTCAGGAGCAAAGGTACTGTCCTCATGTCAGTCACCAGCGTGTCCTGAACTTACACGTT